GGGTGAAATATAAACTGTACATAAATGAAGCAATGCACATAAATGTTTTTCTGCTATCCAGTAAAAGAACGTTTTCAACATGCTATAAGCTTCTGATTCTTGTTTGTTAATCGATTTCACCCCTTCGCAACATCAGCCAATTTAATAGCGTCTTTGTTTTTTCATAAACGTAGACACCATCATAGTCGATATACAGTATGCAATAGCCAAATACCAGATATGCATGCCATCTTCATGCTTTTCAACAATCTCTTTTTTTACATCGGTAGTAATTCTAATAATTTTCTTCGTTGCTTGACTCTTCTCATTAATTATTCTGAAACTCACCGTTAATGACTTTACAAAAACATTACGCATAGCACCATTTGGAAAATTTAGAGTTATAGTAGCGCGGGCTGTTTCAAAATAGTAGCACAGGCGTATTGATGTTCATGGTCTGTCGTCGCATTGTCTCAAAGAGGTAACAAATATAGTGCGCATAAATGGTGACCCATTGAACTCGAGTCGTACTCCAAGAAAATATCGTGTACCAAACAAAATTTTTCTCTCCCAAATGGAACGTATTATGAGTTGGAATGTATTTGCAGGCGTATACCGAGGTACTACAGTATTATAAATGTAACACCATAATATTGAAAGCAGTTTAAGAGGTCTATGAACATAAATACTTTTTGTCTCTGAATTCAGATATAAACCGGAAAAGGTTGTCCGGTCTATCATCAAAACTACAAAAGAAATGTAAAAGATGCACTGTTGGGGGGACTCATTTCTATGACACTGTTTGATGCGAACAAAAAATCCTTTTTTGGGCGTTGCTACATTGGAAAGAATTTATCAGAAAATACTTATTTTTCACATTGAAACTAATGGAATTACTCACGAAATTATGTTAAAAAATTTTGAGAGTGATACTAAATTCGAAAGCCACCGACAAGTACAAACGAATGCTTTTTATTGATCACGGGAATTTGCCTATGAATGGATTTTGTTCTCAAAAGAATAAAAAAAATATTTTAAAAAAGAAAGAAATTAGAGATTAAAAAAAAGGAAGAAAATGATAAAAAGAAATTGGCACAAAAAAGCTAAAGAATTTCAGTTCCCCCTTTTTTTTTTCGCAAAGGATTATACATATCATTTTGTCTACGACTTGGCGATGATAGCATCAAGATGGGAGAAAAATTAAATAAAAATAAAGCATTTCTTCCGAAGATTCGGACAGGGAACGAAGTGCTTAATTTGTTTACATGGATAGTCTTCCATTGGAAAGATTTCCCAAAACTGGATTTATCCGGTTAAAAGAATTTTTTAAGAAGAGAAAGAATGAAAGTAATTAGGCAGAAGCGCCCTCTATCTCCCACTCAAAAAATTATATAAAGTAAGAAAGCGGCAGCGCAAACAGGCCTTTTTATTTTTTAAAAAATACACAAAATAAATAAAAAATGCATTCAACGAAATAAAAAACAAAGTTAATTTTCCCCTTTCAAATATCGGTTTTGTCTTTCGATGGATTTATCGAATTTCTCAAACCAAGTTTGTCTCATGATAAATGTGCTCTCTTATCCTTGCTGTCTTGAACTTTTTCATTTTTTTTAAAGCAAAGCTAAAATTCTTTTTAGTGGATAGCTATATATCTATACACAACACACCGGTTATGTATTGAAAAGGACGGGCTGTATTCATTGTTTGTCATCTAACATATTTCTTAATAAAAGTGTTTCTTTTCACTCTTTTCTTTTCCCATGCTCTCGAATAAATCTTAGCTAGCGGAAAAGACCTGTTGTGGATCTTTCTGTCACTTTCGGAATGATAGAACGAATACCCGTTTAAAATTTTGCATTTGAAGAGCAGAATGAAAGAGAGGAAAGGGTGGGAAAAAAAAGGTCTTTTTGAAACAGAAGTACTTAGAAGCAGGGGAAGTCAAATATTGCTTAATAGACAAACAAGTCAAAATTTTTCTTTGTCCTCCCCCTAGTTTTCTTTTCTTTTCGTATTTCCTACTTTTTTTCCCTTTTTTTTAAAAAACGGTGAACCGTTTTTCACCCTGTTGCGCGCTTAGGATTTCTTAAGTTAGTGATTGGATTGTCTTTGTTTTTTTACCACTTTCGCTTCTGTCTTTTAAAGAATAAATTCTAAAGATTATTTCTTTCAAATTTCAAAACTACCTTTTAAAAGGCATTAGGATTACTTCTTTTCAAGAATGCTGTTTCGCAGCTGCTTTTTGCTAATACCAAATGGAAGTTTTGAAGTGTTAAGAAAAGCGATCTATTCCTAAGAGAGCTAACATGATATACAGCCTTAGATGAAAGTCTTAGGCATCCCAGTACTTTTAAGATAGCTTAAAAAGTAATAGCAAAGTACACAAATCTTTATCTGTATACATATGAATTTTTAAAAGTTATTACAAGCTGTAAAAAATAAAAGCAAACAAACAACTGAACTTTTACTTCATTTATTATAGTTTCCTTTTGAAAACGAGTACTGCGTTCAGCTAGTTAACTGATAATTTAGAAAATTAAGTAGTTTTTACAAAACTTAAAAAATTTAAAATTTACACACGGTATTAAATCTTGCTTTCAAATGAGCAAGAAAAATCTCAAAATAGGATTGCAGAAAATCTGAAATGTTCATGGTGTGCTGTATAATTTACTTTGGAACTTTTAACGAAAACAACTTCCTATCTTAATAGAAAAGTAACTGGATAGAAAAAGCAACATCATCGATAATTAAAATTTTTCCCAACAATCGGTAAGAAACTGAAGAAAAAATTCTCGTGAGCTTGTTGCAGAGTTATCAGAAGAAATTGGGAGCCCAATAAGTGCTAACTCTGTGAGAATAAGACTTCCAACAGCTTGCTTGAAAGGTGATTACAAGGCTTGAAGGAAGCCTCGGCTGTCGGAAAAAAAAAATATTGACTAAGCTGAGTTTCATCACACAACTGTTTACAAAGGAAGAACGGTCAGTTACTCTGATCAGCCACATTATAGGTAAGCTTTGTTTCGCTTCGATTTCACACAAAACTAATCTTTCAAATACGTTCAAAATGTTTTTGATTAGAAACTAGTCTCTTAGAATGTGTCATTTCTCTTGAAGTTTAGATGTTTGTTTCACACAGTGAATACCATGTGAGACGAAGAAAAGGCGAAGAATACAATACAGACAGTGTAGCTCCTGCTGTAAAACACGGAGAAGGCAGTATTATGATCTGGCGAAGCATGGCGGCCAGTGCTGCAAGCAAAATATTATACATTCGTAAGAGCATTTCAATAACCCAAACACATCAGTGTTTTCGAAGAGACTCTAAAACTATGTTTCTGTAAATTATTCAGAGCTATAAACATGGATTTCGTCAAATTTTAGCAAGATCGGCAACCAACCAGCCACAAATCGGCAACTTCTGTTCGGTGCATTCCTCATAATAATATCTATGTTTTTAAGCTGGCCATGGCAATTCCCAGAACTTAATGCGATATAACATCTGTGAGGTTTCTAAAAGCGAAAGCTATGGCAGAACTCAATAGCATCCAAAGTTATCTTTAACAATGCTCTTGAGCAAGTGTGGAACTACATAAATGTGGCTGAGTGGCGTAAACTAATGGCTTGTTGGCTGAAAACAGCTGCTGCTCTAATTACAGCTAAAGGAGGAAAACATCAGCTACTAAAATCGTGAATAAATATTGCTTATATTTATTGATAGAATGTTCGGTTTTTATTTATCTCGGAATTATTTCAAAATGGATACAATAATATGGGTGCCCAATGCTTTTCGCCAAAACTGTACATCAGTGTTACAGACACTTTGTTCTTCTAATGAGCCTGTTTCAGTGGTTCAATTTGAAACAAATATTTAATAAAATAATTAGTTTAAATAAGCAGTTATTACTCGTTGCTATTAAAAGTTCAGTTGCAGTTAATAATATTAATAATGATAGTAAAATGAAAATTTTTGTAGAAAGAAAAAAGAAAAATTCTAAGGTTTGAGATCTTCACAAATCTCAAAAGAGATTTTGATTTATAAACGACTCAACATTTTTATCATAAAATAGCAATATTGCAAATTAGATCTGACGCACATGCTTAAAGTGTCTTTATAAAGAATTATTAATTTTAAAACAAATTTTATTTAATTTGTTTTTGCATAATTCCTCTTTGTCAGATTTCGAAACAGCTTTAATTCTTGAGAAATAATTTTATTAGTTTTTTTTACAATAGCTTTCTAAAATATACATGAAAAATCAAACATTCCTTTCATTGAGAGACATAATTGTGATCTCCTCGAGTCTACTAACTTCATATGAATACGAAGATACATAAAATGGTGTCATTTAGCTTGAAATTTAAATAGCTAAGAAGCCGTGAAATATACACTCAGAAAAGCACAAGTTAACTGCTTAACTGCTCATGGCAAAGCATGCAAGGATTACTTGCAGTAAAGGCGGGAAATAGGAGAAAATGTGTTTAGCTTAGCGAGTAAATTTTCAAATATGTTGTTAGAAATTCGATTTTTTTAAACTTTGGTAAGCATACTTTGTATGTCAGCCGCATAAGTTTGCCGTCTTAAAACTGATAAAGTGCTGGACAATTAAATGGAAGAGACATTTGGTATTTATCAGACCAAGAAACCAGTTTCATACCAGTAGTTCATACTAGTACTCAAACTAACTGAAGTCAAATTTCAGTGCTTCGACTTATCAAGGGGTAATACATACATATACCTATATTCTGTATTTTAATTTATTCTGCTTATCAACAAATGTTTTAATGCATGGAACTAAAATTATATTACTGTGGCAACTTTCAGTAATGAGTACATATAAATATGCGTGCATAAACAAGTAAAAATGCATACAATATAAATAAATGCTGCTGCTTTCTGCGTATTGCTACTTTAATATTGTGTATGTAGATGCGCAGTTTGAGAAAATATTTGAAAATCGCTGATACGTGTATAAACACATAAAACTAAATTATTTTGCATTTCTATGGGTAAGCTAGCTTCTTACCTGTTCCGGCACCTCTATACATGCAAGGGTCTCTTCCCTTAATGCGTCGCACGAGCATCACCATGGCAACAACAACCACCACGAAGACGGCGACGGCCACGAAGACGCCTACGTAGAGTGCTATGTCTGCCTCCGTCTCGGCAGGAGTGGCTGTAAAAGAAAATAATGGAGTTTTAATTTCATTGGCCATATCACGTGATGCGATCCATAAAATGAAGTCTCAATCACCATTTCTAATGAAATACGTAATAGCAGTAATAAAATTTCAGTTAATACCGCATTAGATTATTGAATGCCTACGGAAATAGTAACTCTAATGTAATAGCCTGTATATAACTTACGTCATAAGCTTTATTATTAGAAAACAAAGTATTCAAAAAAGATGAAAAATATCTAGTTTGCGTAAAAGTCCCATCAACAATTTAATGCAATAAGAATTTTTTTAAAAGGCCATTTACTTGAAGGTTATTTATTAATTTTTATAAGAACAGATCGCACCTGCTTTGTTAAATACTCAGTTAAAAATAGTTGCGATACGTTTTTCCGTTGCGGAAGAAAGAGAAAAAGTTAGTCGGTGGCATGGGAAGTGGGTGAATAATTATCAATCATGCGATATTTTTAATACACCTTTCAAACTTCAATGATAGATAGCTTATTAATGCAACAATGAACCATTACGCTTCTTAGTAATATTTTAGTACTCATCAAAGGCAAAAGTAATTGTTAATAAAAGTGGTTCCATATATTATCGCTCTTTTGTGGAAGTGGGTGTCTTCCAGAAGTCCCGCGTGGTACCGATGTTTATATATGTTCTCCGATGGTACCGATGTTTATGATGTTGGTCACTTTTAGACGTGGTTGTGTTAGAGAGGTAGTCACCATGAGAGAGTTCACTATATTTACCATTTAAAGCACGAATTTCTTGAAGATATTTTATTGTTAATCATAAATATTAGGATTGTACTTATTCACATTTCTCAAATGTGTTTGGCTAAAAGTAGAAGAAAGAAACGAAATCAGTATTCGAATAACTATAAAGCCGCCACTAGCAACCAAAACGCAAAATCCGTTTAGTTCATTTAGCTATAAAAGCATCGTTTCATTAAGCGAAGATTTTAAATACGGTGAAACTTCTTATGGTGACTACCTCCCTAAAATGACCGTTACTGAAAGTTACTAATATACCAAAAGCATAATTAAAGAACGTTTTATGTTCAGTAAAAGCACCATCTCTACATAAGACCAAATTATCTGCAATCCTAGGTAATCATCTTAGGGAGGTTTCATTGTTTTTTTCACAGTTTATATTAAACAGCTAAATAGTATCTATTTATGAAGATCTATTTAGGAAGATCTATTTATGAAGTATTTTATCTTCTATATTATTAAAATCAGTGCGCGTTTGTCTGTTTGTGTCATTAACTCCTCCGGAACGGCGGAGAGTTAACTTTCAAGAGAGGTATTTACGGATTTCAAAAACTCGTGGGAAACATTTCGACCATTCTCATCTTCCTATGACTTTAAACTACTCCAAATATTAATTAAAAATGCTAATTTTCACCCTCATTTTTTCGAGTGACAACAGTCTCGCATGCTGGAAATAAAAATCTGCTCTATTTCGAAAATGGCTGCCACTGCTCGCTCTCAGATCGTGGAATTTGCTAATAAAACATTTCCAATTTCTAGAAAATAGGAAATGAAAATAGTATTGCCAAACGTTAAATAGATTATTATTATATAAGGTCATGTTCTGAAGTTAAAGAAAATACAATTATATTTTATGTGACGGCATTGTATGTCGAAAAGTTTTCGTTAACGTTAGCATTTTAAACAAATAGCTGCTGTTTTTATTTCAGATTTTTTTTTGGCAACGTTTTTGTTTCAGATTAAGATAACTGACATGTTATGTTATTATAACGTTAATTCTTTTACGCATATTGAGAATTGTTACATAACATTAAATTTAAATCATGACGTCATATGTATACGTATTAACCTGAAGTGTCCAGAGTTTTTGTTGTCTGATTTGGCAACAACAAAATTATTTACGAATTGGTTGTTGCTTGGAAAGAATGAACTTAGTTCATGCTGAAATGTTTTTATGCATTTTTTAGGTGTATATAGAACGCATAAATTTTGCTTTGGTCGCAGCTAGCAGCTTTGTATACAGTACATTAAGTTAATAGTTCATTTTATTTTCAGTTTTTCAGTATGTATAGAACTTATAAATACTGCTTTGGCCATAGCCCGCTAGTTTAGATATATCACCCGCGTTATCAATGTAAATTTAAAGCATACATTTTCGATACAATAAGCATCTTTTCAAAGAAATGAATTGCTATTTGTAACGCTTGCATTAACATGCGTAATGAAAACCTGTGCTTACATTTTGAATATACTTTTGACAAATAAAACAGCCTTTTTGATGGGGGGGGGGAAAAAAAAACTTTTGACAAACTGTAAATATAAAAATTAGTTAAAAATTTTAATTTCCTCCACAAGTTATTTATTTTTATTTATTATAATTATTAAAAATTCCGTATAAAAGAGGGTGTTTATTTCTGTCGCTAAAAGCAATATAAACTGAATCATCATAGGAATTTCACAGACAAAGAAAATTACTCAAATTGTTAGAGGCACGAAAATGTGCGTGCAGAATTATTTGTTTGGGTTAGATGCTATCGCTATGCGACATAAATTTTTTCACTTGTTCGTTGAACATTAAAATACGATTAAATAAAATTATTCATAAGGATTCAGACGTTAATGCTGGTTCACAAAGATTCACATTTCAAATCTTCAAATGTTCATATAACTAATAACTTGAAAATTAAATCAAAATCAAAATTTCAATCAGCGTAAAGCAGCATTTTTCAAAATGTAATTTTCGAAGCGTGTACTTCTGGTTCCTCTAGGTTTCCGAAAATATCCTGTTACTTGTAAAGGAAATTAACATTATTTTACATCGTTTCTTACTGAATACATGTGACTAATTACACTGGGATATATTTCAGATATATTAGCAAATATAAAAGAACTAAATCTCTATCTACAAAATAATTCTTTGACTGCTTCCAATGTCCTCACGAAATTAAAGGGATTTCAGAGGAAACTTGGTTTGTGGGTTAGTTGTGTAAAAGAGAAAGTTTTTATTACTTTCAACCTTAGAATATACTTCAGTAGAAAATTATATTGTTATTGGAAAAGAATTGTGCAATGATGTATGTTCGCATTTCGAAACTCTCGGGTCAGAATTTAAAGCTTACTTTGCAATTGGTTAGTATAACGAATTTTAATGGGTTCTTGATCACTTCCATTGCGAATTCGAAACTCAAAATCTGTCACTGAATGAAAGTGTAGAGACATTAGGTATTTTTGGAAGCAGGCAAGATGAAAAATGAGCAACGCATTCGCCGGGAATCGGACCGCGGACATCTGCAGTACGCGCCCAGCATGCAGACCACCCATTACGAAGGCATGCCAAAATGTGGAAGAAATACCTTATATACTCCCCTTTTTAAAGAACATCTGGGGTTTTAGGGGACCCAATCGGCAAATCCTGGGTGTAGAGAACCATCATCCAACACCCTTTTAGTTCGGGCGCCACTGTACAGACATTAGGTATTTTGGAAGCTGGAGATGTGAAAATGAGCAACGCCTTCTCCGGGAATCGAACCACGGATCTCTGGATACGCGCCCAGCGTGCAGACCACTACACCACAAAGGCACGCTAAGAAGGCGGAAGAAATACCTTATAAAAGAAAATAGTTTATTGAATTCTCTAATTAACTCGGATTTGAAACGAAATTTCAAGCAGAAGGTATGGTTTATTTCCAAACCTCATGACCAACGAAAACGGAATATAGCGGACTTACTTTGCAGATACTAGTCTAAAAATCATAATTCAGTTTGCTTCTACGTATCTGTGTGAGAATGGATTTTAGTCACTAACTCAAATAAAAACAAACGACCGAAATCGGTTTGATGCATGTGCCGATCTCATAATCAAGCTTACCAGCATATATACTGTTACATTATTTTCTGACACCAGTTGTTACGTTATTTTCTTCCTTCACGTTCGTACGGGGTTCGTGTTGGATTTGGAGTGAATAACGACGACAGCACTTGATGGAATATCGAAACACACTTTATTGGCCGGTATCAATCAGGACAGCTCCAAAGTCGCGTTTAACAGTCGTCGAAGATCTACTATAAACTCGCTGGAACAATCAGTACACAGCCTTCAGTTTATCAGGTTATAACGATGGAGACAGCTTCACTGCAAAGCACCAGAATACAGCTCCCGACTCTGCTTGGTCGTTCTCGGAACTCCATGTACTGTCGAGACTCTCCACGCTACAATTCAACGAAACACAGAGCACAGCTTCCGACTCTTCGGTTCAGTCGTTCCCGGAGCTCAACACAATTCTGTCGACGATGCACTAACCGCGATACACTAAGAAATTCTTTCGATGCACTCGACGAACCACTCGGCACTCGCTGCCTGGCTGTCAACTCGATCGACTTCGCACGGACTAATTAACTCGAGACACACTATCTCGCACTCACTCTCCGCGTACCAGCAGGGTTTATATAGTTTTTGGCTTGTGTTCGAGAACATTCTGGGCTAAATCGGTAAAGAATTAGTACCAAAAGGTTCTCCTTCCGTCCATGGTACATCACCAATTTTGTCGCCAAATATCGCCAAAAAGGGCGATTTCTCGCCAAATATGGCAACCCTGCTTTCCCTTGCCATTTTATGGCAACGCTAAACTTGGTTTGCGGGGAAGCCATCTTACTGCGCCTGTACATTTCGTAACAATACACAGAACAGCAGGGCAAGAATCGGCAAGTCCATCCATGTCATTATTATGAGCACCAACATTGAATTAATTTTTAGTTAATAGATTACCTTAACAGCCTTGAATTAAACAAATATAATTTTACTTCTATTAACTTAATTGATTAATAACAATATGAAATTAAATAAAATTTAATTAAATGCATTTAAAAAATACAAGTATAATGGTAGTAACATACGCTAAGTTGCTTTCGAAGGGGAAGGTAGTGAGTACAACATTCTAATTTATAAAAGTGGTCTCCACTTGAAAAAAATTTGAGAAACGCTGCTGCAAAGTATAAAATT